CATGAGTATTTTGGTAGTACTTTTTTACTATTACACAATACACACCTTGGGGTGTAAAAGTTTTCAGGATTTCTTCCTGGAAGAGAGAAGACTGGGGTAGGTTGATGGGTTGGTTTGGAGAAAACATTGCTTAGGTAATGATTTGAGATACTTTCAATGCTGTATTCCTTAGCATTTCTCACCAATCCCCTGTTTCGGGAAAAAGATTAGAACAAAGAACTTTGGGATTTTTTGATGCTGTTTAATAGTAATACGTAAGAAATTATCAATGTTTATGGATAGCATGTGAGTTGTGACCCATCCCTCGGATCAGGGTAAAGCCTGGCTGAATGTCAAAATCAATGTAAATCGTTTTCACCCATATATCAATTCCTGCCAATTATCTCGTCTTTTATTGCAGATAGGTTGGATTTGTTTAAAAGAAAACCTGCAGCAATCAAAGAAACCCAAAGGCAAATGTTTAAAAGTCTTAAACCAGAACAAAGCGTGTCGTCTCTAACCATTGAAATTAATTAGTCGCTCTATAATCTGGCCATCACTATTTATTTTTGTATGGCCAAAGAGGGATGACCTACACCTCCTAATTTAGCTTCTGCACGCCTTCTTTGCTTCACGAAAACCTCCAATTCGAGACATGTGATGTTGTAATTGAATATATTTTTGCCTGGCCGAGTTGAAAATATCAGAAATATTAATGTTTGGTATGGGTGTTATATCTGCTGAGGACTGACCCCCCGTGGTATGTTCATCTGCTCTGGACTAGTGGCTGGCGGCTAAAGGGTACAAGAAATGTCTGATAGAGAAATGGGGTTTGGAAGATCAGAAAAAAAAAAGGGGAAAAGCTAGAATTGCTTAAGGAAGCCATAGTTGAAAGAATGACTAAAAAAAGTTGATTCCTTTTTTTCCCATACCATTGATAGGTAACCTCAACCACACCCACAGATTGTTAAAATTGGCAGGTCATTCCGAATCAAGTAGTTTGATTCGGGCAGACGGGAGTAATCAATTCAGCTCTCAAAAGCATGGCTAATATTTTTGCCATTCATTTGGGTGGTGGTTATACATTTATTAGATCGAATCTGCTTTTGCTTAAGATGCTGTAGTTGTAGGTGTTTCACTTTTACCTTTTGCTATTTTATATGTCATTGTGTTCGTCATTTGCATGTGCCAAAGCTCTCTTCTCTTCATTGACTCAGACAGTTCTCTCTTACATGGCCAATTTGAACCTGGGTCTGCTCGAAAAACGAAGATGGAGCCTAGCTGCACCCAAGAGTATGGCAACAGACTCCTGAATTACCTATCCATGCTAGAAAATAATGAACTGATATTAAAGAATGTTGACTGACGAATCACTCATATTATTCTCGACGGTTTGATGCAATTACGTGTTACATGACAGCACTCAGCAATGATCAGTCAACACCTTACCCAACTAAATGCTGATGGCTTTGCAAGGTAAACGTGGAAAGCCCCTTGCATATAACCTAGGCGTATGGGAGATGGATCATGACTCATCCTTCCTTTGAATCATTGATTGTTCTCTACCCCTCTTCAGACTTCACCAATTCACCGTTCAATTCAAGCTGATCCTTGTTAGGTAACACTCATCCTTTGATTCCCTATTATCATGGATAATAATGCAGAGGAATGGGTAAGCTAAGGAGGGTTACAAGGTTGTTGGCATCAAGCTTTAGATACCACATATTGGCAAAGTTATAGAATCTCTCGGGCATATGATTGACAGGTATATAAGGTAACAGTTACTAATGGAAGAAAAGCTTGCAACTGATTAACAGAGTAAGAGTTGCTAATTCAAAAAATACTTCTATTTTGCATTTTCTAACAGTTTAAAAAATTGAATTTAAACAAAACCTAGGAAACAGCAGTGACAAAGGAGTAGTTTAGCTAGTCCTTTGTGGCTTAGTCCTTTGTGGCCCAAACCATCCCCCCTCGTAAAATTGAGCGGGGGTTACAGATGGAACCAAGAGCAGAACTCAGATGATAAGAATACTTGTCGAAGAGCGATCACAAGAATTTCATCTACTGAGATGCAGTATCAGAAGCACCATCCAACTTCTCGAATTTCAACCAAGCTCACTCGTTCACTCTGATTTGGGCTTTAAAGGTCTTTGCCTGGATGATTGAATCCCACTAGTAGACCTCCCTATGAACTTCAAGATCTCATCGATCAAAATCACAGGGAATGCAACAGAGAGAACTAGTAGCCATTCATTAAAGCTTAAAGGCACGATACCAAATACTTGAGCAAGGAATGGCACATAGAGGATCAAGAAGTGCAGGCCAAATGAGACAGACATGGCCAGAAGGAGCCAAGGGTTGACCCATGGAGGCATTGTCAGGAGGCTCCCATCCTCAGAAAGGGCATTAAGGGAGTTGAACATTTCAATGGCAACCAAAACAGAAAGGGAAAGGGTCATTGCTTTTACTTTGCCACCCTGGAAATAATCACAGGGATTGTTTTCAAAGGAGAAGACCTGAGTACCAGCTGTGAAAGGTGAAACAGTGAAATTTTTCCAGGATGAGCACTGGCCCCAATTGGCAAGCTGGGAGTATGTGACAAGGGTGTGGCCATCCCCACTTAGATCTATGCCCAAGAACGAACCATGTGTATACCAAATGATAAAGATACCAACAGTTGCCATTCCAACATATAGTCCAATGACCTGTGCAAAGCAATAAAGTATGATAAATAACTCAATCCCACTTAAATAACTTTTTCCACAAGATCAAGCACAAAGGT